TTACCGGGGATTGAACTCGGGTCCTTGCGCTTGCAAGGCAGGCTGCGGAACCACTGAGCTAAATCCCCGGCCCTCTGTCTCAGTCTTCCAAGTACTGGGATTATAGTTCCTCAAGGCTGGGGGTGAAATTGCTGGGTCCTAGAGCACACATTTAAAGTTTGAATAGATAGGCTGGAGTTATAGTTCAGTGGTGGAGTGTTTGCATAGCATGTGTGAGGGAGGCCCTAGGTTCAATCCACCCCACCCCCACCGCCAAAACAAACAGGAAACATAATTAAATAGATACAATCTGGAATATATAATGAGACACTGTCTCAAAATAAAACAAAAACAAAAAAATAGATGCAATCAAATTGCCTTTTATTTTTTTGATACAGGGGATCGAACTTGGGCACTTGAGAGTCAGGCACTGGAACCACTGAGCTAAATCCCCAGCCCTCAAATTGGCTTTTTAAAGCAACCCAATCCACTTCCACTGGCCAGGTAGGAGAAGCCATTCTTCACCTCACTGCCAGCACTGCATGGATACAAACTCCCTTAGTAGTCACCAAATTGCTCACAAATAGTCAAAACTGGGGCACTTGCTTTTATGTGGCCATCTGTACTTCCTTCTCTGGGCCCTCGCCCATATCTTCACATGGCTTCTCCTTGAGCTCTGTGACTCCCCAGGCTGTGTGTGGCTATAGGGATCGCAGTGTTAGAGCCCCCCTGGTGGTGGGCTAGAGGGAGGATGGAGTGGGGACAGAGCGGACTTCAGGGAGTGAGTTTCCAAGGACTGGAACTAAGGGAGGCTGCAACAGTGGCTTGGATTCTGGAATCCACCAAAGAGGCCTGGCAGGCTGGGTGAGTCCTCCCTGGGCCTCAGGGGAAGAAAGGCAGCGTCCTTGGAAGAAACAGCTGGGAGGTGACACCTCCCAGCTTGTCCTTCAGTCCCCTCCCTTCCCACAGAGCAGGGGGGAAGGAGGAGGGTGTGAGGCTGGGTGGGGCAAAGGTGAGCTGCTCCCCGTGCACCAGGCCAGGCCAGGCAGATAGCCACTTTCGGCTGGGGCCGGGTGTCACTGAGCACGCCGGGGCTGTGACCCAGCTGCCATTCCTCATTCCATCCGGGCACCTGCTCTGCCCTCAGCCCCCGGGACCAGCCCTGCCCACCAGGCCCATGCTGCTGCCAGGGCTCCTCGGTCTCCTCTGGATGCTCAGGGCCCCCCTGGGGGCCACAGGTGAGGGGGGAAAATGGGAGGGGGCATGCAGGGTGGGTAGGGAGGGGGCTCTGAGGCTTCTGAAGGGGTTGCGCCAAGCTCTGGTTGTAGCAGCCAGTGAGGGCGAAGGAGAAGGAAGCTGGGTCAGTTGTTGCTGCTTTTACCTAGGACTGAGCAGGCTGCGGGAGTCCAGCATTCGCATCTACGGGGGTGGGGGGGTGTGAACTCTTCCTGGAACACTGCTTTTCTCACCCAGGCTTCATTCTCTGGCCCCTTCCTTGCTCCTCTGTCCCCCTCCCCTCAGGCCCCATGCTCTCTCTACACTGGATTCTTCCCTCCCCCAGGCTCCCCCTCTGCCTTTGGTGTCCGCATCCCCCCTTCCCAGCTCTGCCCCTCACTCATGCCGCTAGCCTCACCTGGCCCTGTTTCTGGGCATAGTTATTGTCACCAGGGCTGGGGCCTGGAGATCCTGAAGTCTCTTTGCCTTACCCCAAGGGTGGCTCCTAGACACGTGGGTGGGATGTGCCTCTTGCTGCCTTGGGAGCCCTGATTCCTCAATTGGCACTTTCTCCTCTCTGTCCTGCAGTGACCACAGTCCTAGACCCAGGTCCAGCCTAGAGGCCCGGGTTCTCCTACCTACCTCCCTGCAGTGCACTTCCTGGCTGAAAGGGTCCAACCCCTCCCCCAGGCCCCCACCATTCCTGCCACAAGGCTGACAAGTGACATGAGTGACACGCAGCTCTCAGGAAGAAGCGCACTGAGTCCCATCCCAGAGAACAGGAGCTCAGTGGGCAGGAGGTAGGGGCGCTTCCTGCAGCCCCTCACCCCTGCCCAGGAGACCTCTGGTTCTCAGTGTCACCCTCTGTGAAATGGGCCAGCGCTGTCTAAAGACTGAGGCTTCCTATGCTCACAGGCTAATCCAGTGGTTGAAACAGAACCCCCGTTTAAAATGTCTTTTGTATGTGTGATTAACATTCTCCACTACACTTGCCCTGCCCACTGAGGTCTCTCTTTCCCGGAGTTTCCTTCTCTGCTCCCTGAGGTCCTCCCTCCACATCCCTCCGTCTCCGCAGAGACTGAGCTGCATCCTCTTTTCCCCTCGACTGTCCCCTGTGACCCTTGTCTCCTGAGGCCCAAGCTGTGTCCCAACCCCCAGCGCAGCCTTGCAAAAGTTTCTTTCTTCACAAAGGAAGGAGATAAGAGAGTCTCCAGGTTGGGGGAGAAGGGCAGAGGAGGGTCAAAGGGTGGGGGCTGAAAGCCAGTGGGGAGGAGGATTCCAGGCAGCAGGTGGAGGGGAGGACGGAGCAGGGGAAGGGAAGGGCCTAGGTGTGGAGAGGGAAGAGGGAGCCTCAGCTGGCGGAGGTACTGTGCTGCACGGAGACCAGGGCAACCCACCCCGCTGCTCCAGAGCAGCCTCAGCTCCAAAAGGCCTCTAGCGCCTCTGGTGATGGTGGTGGGGATAAGATAAGTCACATCCAGCTCTTTGTGTCTGGAAAACGGGATGGTGAATAACCTTTGTGGCGTGAAGGTGACCTGCAAATTCACCAATGGGTTCCTCTGTTTTCCGCCAACACAGGAACCGTGTCGGTGATCTCTAACTCTCCCTCCCCTGGTACAGAAGCAGCGCACACTGCTCTCAGCTATGCCCCAAGCACCAAAGCAGCAACACAGCGGCCACCTGGTTCCCCTGCTCCTGCCAACAGGGAAAACACAACCATGCCTCTCACCATGGCCACTCACCTTAAACCCGCTTCTGAAACACTGCTCAGTTCTCGGGTCCATCTGGATGCCTCAACAACCCCCAAATTTGTCCTGAAGGTTGAAACCACTCCCCCTACCCTCTTGGTCTACACACCCACCACTGAGTGTGTAAATTCCCCCAGGCTGGGAGTCACGTCCATCGGCCCCACCACTCCCTGTGTGCCCCGGACCCCTGTGCCCCACTCTGGCTCTTCTTATACTGTGACTCTTGGGACAGACAAGCCAGCGACCACCACCACCAGCCCTACCCCCATAACCTCTTCTCCCACTGTGGAGGACCCACCCTCCCCTTCAGCCCCGCTCACAGACACAACCCACGAAGCTTTAACCTCTACAGCACGGGCCACAGAAAGGACCCCGCTGCCCCCAGCTAGTGTCCACATGGTGTCTCCGATCCCGGGAACTACCTCTGTGTCTGCTGCTATCTCTTCTTTAAGTCCTACAAAACCCATCTCAGTCACTGCTAGCACAAATACAGAAGGAGGCCTCTCTACTCCAGTCACCCCTGGAACACCAGCTACTATGGCTGTACACACCCCAACACTCACTACCACCAGCATATCCTCAGCAACCAGATCTACAGAACCACCTTCAACCACAAGGGCAACAGGTCAGATGACAGTCGCCACCCCTAGTGCAACATACACTGGACAAACCACACTTATGCCCACCCCTGACTTTTCCACAGCACCTCTCAGGGCAGAAAGTACCATTATTCCACCGATTGCTTCTTCAGTCACCCCCACAAACGCACTGCTTGCTGAGATATCCGACACATCTCCTCCTATGACCAGGAGGGAGACACTGTCTTTCATATCAGAACCAGCCTCCACTGGTACCACACTCACCACCCCTCTATCCACCTCGGTTCCCACATTCCCAACCTCTGATTCCAGCTCCACAGCTACATCTGAGGTCAGCTCCTCCAGCTCTCCCACCAGCGCAGTCTCACACTCCGCTTCTGATATCACCTCTCCTACCACCACGGCAGATACAACCACCACTGTCCCCTCTACCGCACCCACCTGGTCCTCTCAGCTCACCTCAGAAGCTGGCATCACTGGTACCACACTGTTGGTATCCGCAGCCGCCCCATTGGCCTCTCACAGCACGCCCAGCCTCACAGATTCAAGCAGCCACTCCACCTATGGCGCGTCCACAGCTGCCGCCTCCTCACCCCCCACCAGCTCGGGAGCCACGGAGACCTCCACATCCGCAACCCCGCCTTCACTCAGTACACACGTCCCCCCCATCACAACCACAAGTGTCCCCACCTCCTCCCTGGGCAGCACCATTCCGCTGACTGCCAGCACGGGCCGCACCTCCAGCCCCACGGCTTCCAGTGCTGCAGCCACCCACGATCACACCAGCCCGTCCTTCCCCACCGTGCATGGCACACAAACACCTCAGCCCAGTGGCACAGGCCTGACCCTGACTCCAGGCGGGACAACTTCTCTCACAAGTGCAGGAAGCACAAGTTCCCATGCCACTACTATTCCAATTACACCCGACACATCAACTTCAACCTCTGTATCTCCTCCTGTATTGACCTCTGTCTCACAGACACCGAGTTCTCCTGTACCCATGGGCTTTCCTGCTGGAACCAGGGATTCCTCTCCTACTTCGTCCTTTCTTACTCGGACTCCATCACTACCCCTCAGCACTCTCACATCAACGTCGGATGTCCTTGTCACAGATACCAGCTTGTCCACTCCTAAGGCCTCTGTATCCACTCCCATTTTTCTGACCTCGCTCACTTCTTCAAGTGAGTCCAGCGCAGAATCTTTCACTCAGGGAAGCACATCTGCACATGCCGCGATCACCTCTTTTGGCACTCTGATCCCTTCAACTCCATCTGTTATAATGTCCTCTCCTCCTCCTTCCACCAGCAGCGACCCAGTGCTCACTACTACCACCACCTCTGTCCCTGTCTCCCCCCATACGTCCCGCACAGACTATACAGGCTCTTCTTCCACCACAGCTTTCCCTCGCCTGTCTTCATCTACAACCACGACAATGTCTCCAGCCATCTCCTCACCTGCCACAACTCTCACTGAAACAACTCCCTTTTCTCATATTTCCCTTCTTCCCACCACACCCTTCCTAGGAACTGTCACCATTACAATAGTCCCTACCACTTCCGCAACTCCATATGTTGGAGTGGATCCCAATACCATGGTTACATTGACTCCCACAATGCCATTCTCAGTTTTCCCCTCTACTACCGATATGGTCACCATTCCTAGCTCTCCCAGCGAAAGAACCATCTTTCCTACATATGTGGACACCACTACTTCCAGGACTCCAGAAACTGAGCCCGCCCACATCACAACTGGTGCTCCTAGCTCTCCCAGCGCTGGGACAGTGCCCATGAACACGGCGTTGACCAGTGGCCAGACACCCAGTGAGAACTGGCTGAGCAGCAAGTCTGTCACCACCCCGAGTATGGCTGGCTCCACCGTGAAACCGAGCAGCAACCTTCCAACGGTCACGACTTCCAGCAAGCTGACACACCCTACCCCTCCCACCACCTGGAGTCCAGGGACACCAGTGGCCACCACGCAGACTCCTACCACCATTACATCACCAAGAACAGCGTCAACCCCTACTCGGATGACCACAGTATCAAGACTGACCACCACCCTAGGTAGGACTTCTGTGTGCCTCTTTCTTCCCTTCCTTCCCTGCTGAATTCCTTCATCACAATCAGGTTCTATTTGAATTCCCTTTCTTCTTATGTTTCCCAGGCACCTGTGAAAATGGTGGCACCTGGGAACAAGGCCATTGCACTTGCCCCCAGGGTTTTTTTGGGGACCGCTGTGAGCACTTGGATAAGTGCCAGAATGGGGGAATGTGGGATGGCCTCAAGTGCATCTGCCCCAGCACCTTCTATGGCTCCTTCTGCGAGACTCCGGTGGAACAGATAGAAGTAGGTGAGTTGCAGGGCCGGGTGTTCTACACGTCCTCCCAAAGGTGCCTGCAGCTGTCTTATGCCAGGCCTCCTCTTCATCCTCACCTCAAGGACCAGGCGGTCCCTGGCTTCAGACTCCCTCCTGCACCTCCTTCTGGTCTCGGCTGCTTGGAGATGAATTCCACATCTAGCAGGAGTCTGATGTGGGTCTCCCTGGGCTAAAGTCCAGGTGTCAGTAAGGCCTTGTTCTTTTTCGGAGGCTTAGGAGAGAATCTAGTTCCTGCCACTTCTAGGTTTTAGAGTCTTTCATTCCTTGTGACAAGGCCCCGGAAACCGCATCACTCTATGCCTTTTCTCCATAGTTATGTCTTCCTCTTTTGGGCGACCAGGGGTGCTAGGGAATTGAACCCAGGTTCTTGCACACTCTAGACAAGTCCTCTACCACTGAGCAACCCTCTAGCCCAGTCACAGCTTCTGATCGACTCCTGGGGGCTTCCGCCTCCCTCTATCCCTGTTAAGGACTCTTGTGACAACACTGGGCCCACTTGGATAGTATTTGTGAATTTTCCCATACTAAGGTTTGCTGATTAGCAATCTAATTTTATGTGCATCCTAATGCAGATTAGCTGCGATCTCATTTTATACTTCCATGTAACATAACACATTTGCAGGTTCTTTCTGGGGATTAGGGGAGAGACATTTGAGGGGCCATTATCCTGTCTATCCTGGGGTCAGATAAGGGAGGGACCGCAGGTAGACAGCCACGCATCCTGACTTCTTTCCCTCACCTCCGGGCACCTCATCCCAGAATTGCTTCCTCTCTCCCTGCAGCTGTTCAGCCGGTCACCAGGGACAGTGGAAAGAGGGCAGAGGGAGGATGGTGGGGGAGGGGAGGGGGATGGCAGATGGGAAATGACTAAAGCTGGGCATGGTGTGTACAGACACAGTGGAGGCCGAAGTGGGCATGGAGGTGTCTGTCGACCAGGAATTCTCTGCAGACCTCAAAGACAACACTTCCATGGCCTACAGAGGATTCAGCAACCTCTTCCAGAATCAGGTGAGGGAGAAGGGAGGGAACATGAGGGCCTTCTTCTGGAGCTGGGCTCGGGCTCTTGGGTGCCCTCAGGCTCACAGCTCAGACATGAGCTCAGGGATCCTTGATTTCAGATGAAGAAGATTTACAAAACTGTGGCGGGGTTCCAAGATGTGGAGATCCTGTCCCTGAGGTAGGAGACCATCCTGAGGAGGTGGAGGATTAAGTGGTGGCTAGGGTTGTGAAGAAAGGCTGGAGAAGACATCTTCTGCTTCTGGCACCATCAGATTTCTTGAAGAGAGGGGTGGAGGGAGTATGCAAAGGGATTACTTAGGGAGGCTTTTTGTGTCTGGGGCCATTTCTCGGCAGGAGGAATGACAACTGTCCTAAGCACGCTGGAAGGAGATTGCATGGGACATGTAGGGAGGTGGTGTTGGGACTGTTGACTTGGCCTCTCTCTGGGGGCACTAGCTCTACTTGGGCTAGAGAGAGGGGTGGGACAGGCAGCCCAGGAGAACTTCGTTTGGTGATAGCTTCATGCAACACCAGGAGAACTTCCATCATTCCTCATCCTGCCTTGTCAGGTTGAGAAGGATGTGGGTGGTAACCCAACTCATGACTGTGCACTTGTGCTTGGTCCTGGAGGTGGCCCTCCAAGGACCCATGTGCCCCAGACCTGGGCACCCTCTAAGGCTCCTGGCTTCCCCAGGAATGGCAGCATCGTGGTGGACTATTTGGTCCTGTTGAAGTTGCCCTTCAGCTCCCAGCTGGAGAGTGACTATGAGAAGGTGAAGACCGCCCTCAAGGAGGAGCTCCAGAATGTCAGCCAGAGAGGGGACAGCTGCCAGGATAACCAGAGTGAGCAGAGCTAGAGGGAGGGGTCCGGGTCAGAGCGGACCAGGGCACCCTAAGTGCTCAGGGGCCAGCCCTGCAGTGCCTGTGGCAGGTTGGGAAGAGGGCACAGGGTGGGACTAGGGAGGATCTCATCAGACCTGGGTGACGGGGAAGAGACTCTCTAGCAGGTATGGTGAGGGTTCCCACATGGCTGAAGACACTTGATTATTCAGGGGGGAGGAGGAAGGCCACAGCTGAGCGCCCCCCCTCCGGGAACACCAAAGCACCTTCTCTGTCCCTCCCCATACTTGCTTGGGTTCTCCCCATCATTGCCTGTGTCTCCCCAGCCCTGTGTTTCAAGCCTGGCTCCATCAAGGTGAACAGCACCATCCGGACAGAACTGAACCTGCAAGGTGAGGATGGGGCAAAGGGCTGAGTGGCATCAGGTGGCCATGAGCCCTCCCACCAGGGGCAGATGCCCTTTGTAGCTCTCTGGGGAGAAGAGGGAAATCTTTTGGGGAGGCAAGTGATGTGGCCCAGGGCTGGCCTTCCTGGCCCTTGTTAGACACTCCCACGTGGGCACCAGCAGGCAAGGTGAGAGGGCAGAGGTGCAGGGGGGCTACTCCCATCTGATCCCAGGGTCAGCCCCACGGTACCAACTCCGGAAACGTCCTTTCCATGCATTTCGGGTCACTAGAACCACACCCCTGCGTGGGATGAACGAGGTACCTTTCTCTGCAACTCCTTCCCCAACCCCCCAGCCATCTGCCACAGAGCAGCCCCCAAGGGCTACGAGGAGTTCTACTTCCCCTTGGTGGAGGGGAACCGGTTCCGCTGCGTCACCAGTTGCGCTCCGGATGTGGACGGTGCCCTCGACTGTAACCAGGGCCAGTGCTTTCTGGGGAAGAGTGGGCCCGCTTGCCGGTGAGGTCCCGCCCACATGCGGGAAGCCCCTCCCACCACCCACCCAATAGGCCCTATCCCCCCACGGGCCGCCTACCATCTTGTCCTGCCGTTTTACCTCCGCCCCAGAGTTCCAAGGCCCTGCCCACTGCTTGGCTCCGAGGTCCCGCCCTGAGCCCCTTCCACAACGCCCTAGGGTGAAGTCCCGGCCCCCATACCCCTCCCACCCTCTCCAGGGTGAGCTCCGCCCCTCTCCCCCGGCCCCTAGTCCAGGGTGGAGGCCCCGCCCGGCCACCTGGGACCATCGAGACATGTGACCTCTCCCCAGCTGCTTCTCCACCGACAAGTATTGGTTCTCCGGCCCGCGTTGCGAGGTGGCCGTCCACTGGAGGGCGCTGGTCGGGGGGCTGGCGGGGGCCGGCGCGCTGCTCCTGCTCCTGCTGCTGGGGGTGCTGAGCTGGGTGACGCGGTCCCGGAGGAAGGACAGGCGGTGAGACGCTGGCGAGGTGGAGGCGGGAGCTGAGGGACGCAGGGGCCCTAGGCTGAGCAGCCCTGCCTGACCGTGCAGCGCCTCTGCCTAGGTCCAGGGCCGAGGACAGGGAATGGTTCGAGGCCTGGGATGACGACACCGTGGGGACTTTCGCCAACATGGGCTTTGAGGACGACAGGACCGGTGAGTCCTGTCTCTTGGGAAGGTGGGAGGGGCCTCCCTGTGACCCCTGTGACCTGGGCAGGAGGGAACCACTGTCTCAGCCACCTGAGCCCAGGACAGATGTTGGGGGGGGAGTAGGTGTTGCCCCTCCCTGCAGGGCTACCCCTTGGGGCCCATCCTGTCCCTTCTCTCCCCTCCCCTCGACCTGTTCTCTATTTGCTCTCTCTCTCTAGTCAAGGACGCAAACTTCCAAGTGGTTTTGCAGACAGTGGACCCCAGTGTGCAGGTGAGGTGGGGAGCAGAGGCCTCTCCTGGAGTGCCAGGGTCCAGCACTGGGCTCTGTCCTCACTCAGCTCACCCACACTTGGGATAGGTGCACACCCCGAGGCCTGAGGTGACCTGGTCTTCGTTGTGAGCCTTCTACCTTCCCAGGACAGCAGGAGTGAGCCATCTTCCAGGTCCCTGCAAAAAATACTTCCAGGGCCTCAGCAGCCCACACTCCCGGTGTCCTTGGGCAAATGGAGACTGTCCCCTTGACCTCCATCCTTCTCCCAACTTGGCTGAAACCCACCCAGAGACCCAGTTCACATCCAGGGTCTTCCATGGTGGGACCTTGAGCGAGTCAGTGCCTTCTCCCGCTTCTGTTTCCTCACCTTGAAAACGGGTATGACACGCTTGTCCTGATACCTCATGCAGTTACTGTGAAAACCGCTGTTTGGCCAGTTCTCTGTCCGTGTCCACCCTCCTGTCTCAGCCCACGTGTTTACATTGTCCATTGGGCTCTCACACCCTCATCTCTGGGGCTCGGTCTTAGGCCACGGTTCCTATTTTCCTGTTTGCACCCTGTTACCATCCTAGTGTTGCCTGTTCTCACCCTGAGCCTGTGGCCCGCCTGCAGCCTGTCCCACCCCTCCTCCCTTATATAACTCTTGCTGGGACCCTGACTCTCCTTTAAGTCTTTCCCTCTTCCAAGCCAGTCCCTTAAGTCAGTCCCCTCCCCAACCCTATGGCTCCCTGGATTTCTGTGTCCCCTTCCCACCCTCGTACCCTCAGCTCAGAATCCTGTCTCCTCCCCACACCCCTATGCTAGATAGGTGCAGGTCTCTCGGTATCTTTGGCTCCCCCAGCCTGCACCCCCAGCCGTAAGTACCACTTTGAGGCTCCACTGGGCCTCCCATCCCTCAAAGGCCCTGGACCCACATGGACAGGGGAAGCATGAATTTCCCCAGGCCCCCGGGGACGAAGGGAGGTGAGGCCCCTCCTCATTGCCCTCACTCTCCTTCCCTCCTGCCTCATCCCCACCCTAACCCTTCCACCCTCTCCTACTCCCCGAGAGCTCTATCACCCCCCTCCCTGCGGTGCTCAGCCTGAAGCCTCAGCCGCCTTTGCCAGTAAGATCAGGACAGAGTTGGCAAGTCAGCAGCTCCTCATGCAAGCACAATATAGCACTCGCTGTAAAAGAGACTGCTCTGTGTCTCTCTCCTTTTCTCCTGGGGGTCTCCACCTGGCTGGAGAACTGGGACTTCAGACAAAAGAGATGTCAGATGTCAGAGGGCCCAGGAAGCAACCCTTTCTCCTAGGGAGGGGCTTAGGGTCGTGGTTGTACAAGGGCTGATCAAAAAATATTCGATGTAAAACAAAACAAAAAAATGCGATGTATATTTAAATAAAAGAATTATTACAATAAAAGATACATTGTCATTATTTCCCCTCAGATTACTTTGCTTAATCACCCTCAAATTTCTTTGCTTTAAACATTTTTTCTTTCCGATGTGTATTAAGTCATTCTTTTTTTTTTTTTTGGTACTGGAGATTGAACTCGGGTCCTTGCACTTGCGCAGCAGGTGACAAAACCACTGAGCTAAATCCCCAGCCCAAGTCATTCATTTTTATTTTTCAAGATGTGCATACTCAAGTATTAGGTTGGGCAGGATGACTCAAGGCCCCTGGGTATGTATAGGTCCTTCCATGGCTTGGGCTACAGACACTTCATACCTAGTGCAACACACACACACACACACACACACACACACACGAAAACAGGAAGCCTGAAAACCCCAAGCCACTCCAAGAAAACTGAGGGAAGGGAGAGGGTAATAATGCAGCATCCCCTAGGGGAAATCAATGCACAAGGAGGGGAGTACAGAGGGTGGAAGGCAAGCTAGCTTCGATCTCCGTCAATTGTGGTTCCGTGGGGATGGTCGGGATTGAGTTCAACACGTCCTTGAGGAAGCTCTCTGGATCGCTGATTTCTGACAGACCAGCTACACCGAGGAACTCCGAGAAGGTCTCCACTCCTCCTGGAAGGTTTTCAGGGCTCTGTCGGCAGCTTCATAAATGAGCATGTCGTTGTGGCCGATGTATTTAGCCAGAGAGCAGGACCAGCTGCCCTCTGTGTTACTGGTAGGCACCTTCTTAAACGTGTTATAAATGGGCTGGGATTTAGCTCAGTGGTTTCGCCGCCTGCTGTGCAAGTGCAAGGACCTGAGTTCAATCCCTGGTAACAAAAAAAACCACACCAAAAACCCAAAACTGAATGCCTAAACATGTTGTAAATGAGATCGACCAGGGCCCAAAAGAGAAGAGAGGAATGATAAGCAAAAGAGTCCTTCATCGCTTCATCTGTCAGCCTGGTGGCTCCCCCTGGAGCCACTGCACAGCCTGTGAGTCACCAGCAGCCTCCGCAGGATCTGCCTGCTCGCGGCTCTCCACTGCTCAGGGGGCAGGACATGCAGGGCCAGGACTGAAGTAGTGGGCTCCATCCACATCAAGGCACTCTCTCCCCACTTCTCCTCTGGCTGCTCTAGGAAGCCTTGGAGGTTCTCCTCTTCTCTGGACTTGGCTTTAAACATTTTTATACCGTTGTTCTTTTCACTTTCTGGAGCAGTTCTGGAAGTCCTCTTTCCTGAGCATTTATGAGGTGTGATCAAAAACCCAGTGAATGCTGCGGCCAGGTGCCATCCAATGGAAAGGATGGCCTGGGGCGGTTGACTTTTGCGCAGATGTGTAAAGCACGGTCCTCAAAGGCCTTGGGCTGGTCCAGGCCAGGCTCTGGCCCTCCCATCCTACTGCTGTGGGCAGTCAGTTCTGCGTGACCGGAGCTGGGACAGTTGGGGACAATCTGCCCCCATGGCTCTCTGTGTGTGGGGGGTTTGGGAGAGGCCCCTCAGACCTTTGCCCTGGGCAGGAACTGGCCATGGCTTCCCTCACCTCTGACTGTGGCCAGGGTGGAGATCAGACCATAAAGTCTCAGATGTGAACGGGTGCTCCACCCGGAGGCAGGAAAGTACTGGAAAGTTGGAAGGGTCCAGCTGGAGGTGGGTGATGGGAAGAGAAGGCTGGATGAAGGAGGGGCTTCTCAGTACAGGCGGATAGTCCTTCCCCCAGAGAGTCCTGCTGCCTGCTGTCCCGCCTGGGGTGCTGACACTCCCCATCCCTGGTGTCCCGCCCCATCTCAGGTCTCACACCTCTGCTTCCTGTTCTTTCCCATGTCTTGCTCCACCCAATGACTTGGCTTCCTGAAATGACTGTGGCTGGAGCAGTCATCACAGCAGGGGTTAGAATTAGAGGGTGACAGGCTGCCCTTGGGCCAAGTCCCTGTGACCATTGGTGCTACCCTCCCAGAGTCATTACCTCAGTCTCCCACCCCTGGCCAGGCATCACCCTTCCCAAGGCAAAGGTCTCCAGGGTTCTTTATATAGGGGCTCCCTCCCTGGGAGCCTCTCATTTTCCAGCCCCTCAGCAAGGGAAGGTACTGCCGCCAGGGGCCTGTGCCCTGGGAGATGCTGGGGATCTGGATTCTGTCGCTGGCCCTCCAGCTCTGGACGTCTACCACTGCCATGAGTTCAACAGCATCACCAACACGGGAGGGTGAGTGAGACCCAGGCTGGCCCCACCTGAGGGCATCGCTGAGTGTGCCTGGGCCAGGGAGGGCTGCAAGTGGCTTCAAGTGTCTGGCCTCCCTCCTTCCCTTGGCAAGGGAGGGGAGCTGCCAAAGGCCCAGAGATCTGTGGTGAGACCTCAGCCTGCCTTTGAGACTAAAGGGGGCACTATGAAGGCCTTGCAGGGCTGGAGCAAAGAGCGCACCTGTGGTTGTACTGCTCATGTCCCCAGCGCAGCCCCCTGACAGGAGGGGCTGGAGTCTGTCTCTCCTACTCTCCTGGGCTCTCTGAGCGGGGTGTGTGTGTGTGTGTGTGAGGGCTCTCTCTGGATGCACTGTGTTCCCCATTGCCCTTGTTTTCAGGGGCTCTCCCTTTGGGGAATCATTTGGCAGCTTCTGCTCTTCACTGCGGGGAGCCGCAGGTGCACCTGGGAAAGCGCCCAGTTAGATGCGCCGGCCGAGGGCCTGGGCGGGGAGACACAGGCTGTGGAATGACCCTTGTCGAGCCGTTGCAGCCAAGTTTGGGAACTGACAGATGATACGCTGATCTCGTCCATGCTCTCTGATTCTCCTGAGGCAGGGAAGAGCCCTGGGAGGAGGAGGGCAGGAAAGGGGGAAGCCAGGGATGGAGGCACCCGGTGGGAAAAGGAGACCCAGAGCTGGTGGGCAGGGGCCTCAGAAGCCACGTTGGCCGCCTACCCCTGACAGCCCTCTTCCTCCCCAACCCAGGCCTGTGGGGGGGACCTTGGGGGTGGTGGGGCAAGGAGGGGGGGGTTGTGTGGATTTAGGGACACCTTTTGAGGGCACTGACAGCAGATGTGTCTTTAAGGTAATGTGCCAGGAGAGGGAGTCATGGGCAGGGGTCCATCCTGGGAGGGCTCCTCCTGTCCCTGCTGCCCAGGCCTGGCCAGCAGCCAGGGTGGTACCATCTGGGGTGCTGGCGATGATGAGAGCAATGATCCACCCAAAGTCGGGTTGCCTCTGTGTGCCCAGCTGCACCCGAAAGACCCCAACCCATCAGCCAAGTCCTATCCTGCAGGTGCTTAAAACCATGTGGGGATAACACCCTTGACTCCACGGGGTCCAAGGCAGGGGAGAGCATCCATCCGGGAAAATTCCCCCCCACCAGCAGGCAGGAGGGGCCGCGGCCAGGCAAGGAGGGCCACTCAGGGGACTCTGAGCCCTCATCCCTCCCTGCAGAGGGCTCTAAGTTTCCAAAGCTGCTTCACAGCTGGTAGCTCCGATTCTCACAAGGAGGATTGTGTAAGAAGTCAGGGTGGACAGGGCCTTGAGACCCAGAGACAATGAGTGATTCACCAGGGGCCACACAGGAAATAATTAACAGGATTGCACTCATTTGATAATGGTTTTGGCCTTTGTGCCCCTCCCTGTTCCTGGACCTCAGCCTTCCGCACCCCCACCCGACAGGCCCATGATCTGGGCTGGTAGGGAGCTGTTTAGATGAGAGGTCAGGGACTGCAGGTGGCATCTCTAGTTTTCTTTCTGCTCTCTCCCCTCCTCTTGGGACTCCAGCTCCCGGGGAGCCGGATGACGTTTGGGATGGGCAGATAGTAGGGAGAAGGTGGGGTGTGACCATGCAGCAGAACTGAGGTGTAGGAAGGTGGGGATGCCCGGGGTGTGTGCCTGGTGGACCGGAAGTTGGTACGAGAGCACTTGTGGGTGACAGGGACAATGGAGCCACACTGAGGCTTTTGGGCCCAGAGGAACCTTGATGGCTTTGGGAGGGCTGGTAATGAGAGAGCCTTAGAGAGGTGTGGAATGGGGACCTAGGGACCCAGCATCCTCCATGGGAATGGAGGCTCCACTTTTGGGTGGGCTGTGTGAGCCCCTCGAAGGACTCCATCAAGGGAGAGGGAAGAGCCTCTTTCTGGTTGGTGACAAGGGTCTCTAGTTGGCCTGTTGAGTCTGAGGAGACCATGAGATTTCTGGCTGGAGCTGTCCTGGAGGCCTGGGGCTCATAAAAGGCCTCCAGCAAGAGGGGCACTGTGTAGAAATCACCATTTTCCATGTGGTGCTGCAGGGGGCTCAAGGACCAGACAATTCCAGGGATCAACATGAAGGTGGAAACCTGTATCCTGTTTCCTGTGTTTTCCCCTCATACTGAGGATTGAAGTCCAGGTCTTCACACTGAGTTACATCCCCAGCCCCTTTTATTTAAAAAAATTTTTTTAAAATTTTTTTGTGGGGTACCCGGGATCGAACTCAGGACTTTGCACTTGCAAGGCAGCGCCAGAACCACTGCCCAGCCCTTTTTAGATTTTTTTATTTAAAAAATTTGCTAAGCTGCTAGGTTGCCCAGGCTGAGCTCAAACTTCCAATCCTCCTGCCTCAGCCTTCCAGAGTGCGGCGATTCCAGGTGTGTGCTTCCCGTTTTGTAGATTCCAAGTTCCAAGTGTTCATAGTGAGGGTGGAGGCGAGTTTCTCAGATGACTTGGCACAGGGGGACAAAGTGGCCATCCCAGAGTGGTCGGAGTTCCTCAGCCCAGATGGGAAGAGGAAGAATTGCTCAACATCTATAAAATCAGGAAGAAGGTGGCGGAGGTGAGAACTGCTCCGAATGCACAAAGGGCGGCTTCTGAAACAATGTGAGGCACAGTGCGAGCAACAGGAAGGACATGCTGCTGTGCACAGAGAACAATAAACTCAGTCATTCTGCAAACACTGAAGACCAAGGGCAAGCTCTGCCTGAGCAGGTGCTCTGGACAAGCCAGGGGAATAAAAAGTTTATAGTTGATTTAATGAGGTGGGAACCATGCACAAAGAACCATCACAGCCCAGCCTGCTGCTGGCACTGCGAGGGGGGTGGTGCAGAGGGGCAGCAGGGGTCACTTCTGCTTGGGCCATGAGGCTCCGGGGACAGGCAGCCTTCAGATTTGCCAGTGGCTGGGGAGGGTACAGGAAGGAAGAGTTCACAGACCCTTGAAGGCCTCAGGTGAATGCAGTACTGGCTGAGCCATGCATGGCTACAGAGAGAACTGGAACACCGATGAGCAGATGGCCCAGGGAGAGCAGTCGGGAAAGCCACACTGACCCGAGGGTCTGGCTTTGGGTATGAATAATAAGCTGGGGATTTAGCTCAGTGGTTCCGTCGCCTGCCTTGAAAGCACAAGGGCCTGAGTTTGATCCCCAGTCCAAAAAAAAAGAAGTTATGATATGATTTTTTTTCTTTATTTTTTGGTACCGGGGATCGAACTCGAGTCCTTGCGCTTGCGAGGCAGGTGGCGGAACCACTGAGATAAATCCCCGGCCCTATGATATGAATAATAAAACTTGCCACTAGGAGAGAGGCACACACCTGTAATTCTATCCTAGCTACTCGGGAGGCTGAGGCAGGAGGATGGCAAGTTCAAGCCCAGCCTGGGAAACTTAGGAGACCCTGTCTCAAAATAAAAATTAAAAAAGAGTTTGGGATATAAATGAGTGGTGGAATGTCCCTGGCTCAAATCCTTAGTACTACAAAATAAATATATTAAATTAATAAATAGTAGATAAATATCACTGCTGTTCATCGAAGGTCTGCTACATGCTGGGCGCTGTTCTAAATATCTATTATCTCACCTAACTTTCACAACAACCCTAGGAGAGTAATTCTATTTTTTTTTTTGTAGCAGGGATCGAACTCAGGACCTTGGGCTTTTGAGGCAGGAGGGAGGACCACTGAGCCAAATCCCTGGCCTGATTCTATTATTAATTTCTGTCTTCATTCATGGGGATACCGAGGCACAGGAATAATCAGTAATTTGCTCAGGGTCTCCCATTCATTCAGTGGAAGAGCCAGGATTTGAACACTTCTGGCTCCAGAACCCACATTCTTTGCCATTTTCTATAACTAGGCGTCTCCCTAAGTACTGATTCCCTGTGATGCCATTGGTGCCACATTCCCTCCCAAGACTCTAGGGGCACTGCTCCCTTGACTTCCCACTCCCGGTGGCCCCTGGAGCCCCTTGGCCCATGGCAGCAGCCCTCAGGTCTGCCCGTGTGCTGAAGCACCCTCTCCACTCTGCCTGGGCAGGTGTGCTGCACGAGGCAGGACCAATAAAAATTTTACAGCAGATTTAATGAGATGGGAACAGTAGACTCACACAAAGATGCCAGTGTCTGGGCTTGGGCCCACCCTAAATCTGATCCTGAGGTTAACTTAATTACACCAGCAAAGGCTTTATTTCCAAACGAGGTCCCATTCGTTATCCCCTGGATTAGGAACTGGACGGACGCATCTTATGGAAGGTGGGGGACACTTGAGCGTAGGAGGCTCTGTTTTGGCAGTAAGCGGGTGGCCCTGGCTTTAATGAGACAGTGGGCGGGGGCGAGGTCGCACCCCCTCCTGGTGCCAGCAGGCCAGGAAGCCCACCCACTCACCACAGGTGTGGGCAGAGGGAGAGGAAAGAGGCAGGGCAGCTGGCTCCCCTTCTCCACCGTGAGCTTACCAGGCACAAGTGACCTTACAGACCAGGAAGCAGACCCAAACCACCGCATTCTTGTGTGGCAGGGCTAAACTCGCCCCGAAGACTAGGTGGCCAAATCTTATTCCAGTGCCCTCCCACCTAAGATTCTAGACTATTCTGGAGTGAGCAAGGTGGTCAAGGCAGGCATCGCTCACCTCATTTTCCAAGGGGAGAAGGAAGTTCAGAGAGGGCCACTGGGTTGCCCAAGGTCACACAGCCTCTTAAAGGTTGATATGGAGAAACTTCGGAGGTCCTACTCCACACCCCTGGGAGTTGCTGACAATGCCACTGGCCTTTCTGGGGGGACTGCCCTTGGGGACTCCAATGCCTGATTTCCCCACAAGCAGAAATGTGTTTTGGAGGTGGCAGAGGGACAGTCTCACACTTCAGAGAGGGTCTTCAGACCTCTTGTCCCTGGTTCCTTCTGCTGGTTTCCCCTAGATCACTGTGATGTGAGAGATTTGCTCATATAATAACTTTTTAAAAATACAAATACACGTAGAACAGAGAAGCAATAAAACTAT